TTGGGGGGGGGGGAAGAAGGAAAAACTTCAGAAAAGTTAAAAAAACAAAGGTTTTTCCGGATATCATTCTTTCAGCGGTTGAGTTGAGTAAGTGAGGAGGCGCTGCTGGCTATTACTGGTGCTGTGATGTGGTGTTCACTTTTTTTCTTTTTTTTTTTTGCCCCAGAAGGGGCTAGACACTAACATTATGGTATCCAATCTGACTCACGCAGGATTTGAACTCGCGATCTGTTTGCCAGCAGTTACGTCGGTGTGTTATTGGTCACACGTGGATGCAATGCAAAGCTAAGTAATTAAACAGCAAAATAAAATATACAGAAAACGACAGCAGTGTAAGAAAGTCATGAGATCGTAAAGTTGGCTTTTCAATGTTTTTTTTTGTTTGTTTGTTTGTTTTCCCAGGCGTATGACCTTGAGATACCATCATTTTTTTAATTACTTTTTTTGTTTTTTTTTGAGATACCATCATTGGATTGACCGGCCAAGGTAATTCAAAGTTATCTGATTGTGTTCGTCTGCTTGCATCAGGATTCGAACTTGAGTCTGTAATTTTTGAACAGTTCAGTGGTGTACCAACTGAGTTAGGCCCATCGGGGAGTGCTAAATAGTTTTTTTTTTTTTTTTTTTTTAATTCCAGGGACCATGCTAATCTTCTCTGTATCGTTCCAATTTTAACGGATGTCCCGAAGGACGCTAAATAGTAAATTCTAATATTTTATATTACTTAAATTGAAGAATTGCACAGAAGACGGTGCCACAGACACACACACATCTGATCGTGTGATACAGATCTGATTGTATCAAAAAAAAAAAAAAAAAAAGCAAAGGACGTGGTACTTTGTTTTTTTGTTTTTTTTAAATCTAGGAGGAACAGCTCTTGTGATACAGATCTGACCAGATTTGTTTTTTTGTTTTTTTTTAATCTAGGAGGAACAGCTCTTGTGATACAGATCTGACCAGACCTCATCGTTTGCTCTTTTGTTTTTTTCATTGTTTTTTTTTTTTTTTGTTGGCAACTTGGCATATCTGCAATGCACTGTGCTGCAGGAGAGAAGATATCGCCAAGTGAAGTCGATAACGCCTTGCTCTCGCATCCTGCTGTGTCAGAGGCTGTGGCATTTGCTGCACCTGACGAGAAGTATGGCGAAGTCGTCAATGCCGCTGTTGTCCTTCACCCCGGTGCGGTCGCCTCTTCAAAGGACATTATCGAACACTGCAAGACCAAGGTTGCACCTTTCAAGGTCCCAGCCCATGTTTTCATCACGGACTCTGTGCCACGCACCGGAACAGGAAAGATCCAGCGAAGATTTGTCGCAGAGAAATTCCTTAAGGAGGCACAGCAACAGCACGGCCCGGCAGCGAATCCAGTAGAGGCGTCGGCGAAGTCCGGTAAGGATGCAAGCTGAGAAGAATTTGTCCTTTATGTTTGCCTGTAGTAACTTAGCAAGGGTTTCGATTCTTTCGGACTTTGAAATGAATTCATGACCAGTCCTTTCGTGATTCCACATTTGTTTCTTTGTGTGTGTGTGTGTGTGTGTGTGTTTCAAATCTCTCTCTCTCTCTCTCTCTCTCTCTCTCTCTCTCTCTCTCTCTCTCTCTCTCTCTCTCTCTCTCTCTCCAGCTCTCTCTTTCTCTCTCTCTCTCTCTCTCTCTCTCTCTCCCAAATCGTCACAAACCATCCATAAAAGAAAAAAAAAAGTGTAGATACTAGATAGGCAATATCATAGAAGACGCAAGGTTGGCCAGTTTTGTATGGGTAAGCGCCAAGTGTCCGCACACCCGACTGCGGCCGAAGCGGCACACTTGTCCGTCAAACAGAGCTGCCTACGGGAGGGAAGGGAGAGAAAAGGAGAACAAACGAGGGGCTGTGACAAACTGTTTCGTCGGAGTTTCACCGACTCACCGCGCGTTTGTTGCCCTCTTCTCCCTCCCTGCCTACGGTTTACCGGGCAGCTCTGTTTGACTATATATACTTTGTGACAATATATGATATATATATGCAAAGTGTTTCGTCGGAGTTTCACCGACTCATCAGGAGGCTGAACCCTCAACATTCTGCAGAATCCCCTAGTAACTGATTAGACTGTAAGTCATAATCCACCTTAACCCCGGCTGTGGTTAAGCATTAACGACTGCCGGACAACTGATACTTCTCTGAGGAGGTGGGGACCACCAACCACTGCACTCAAGGTACCTGTGACGAAAATCAAAGCAGACTATCACTCACCCACACCCGATAAATCTTTTTTTTGAATTTTTTCTTCTTCTTTTTTGAGAAGTCCTGATCTAACATCCAAGGAACTCCAGAACCCACTTCCCCTCGTCCGTGCGTTTCAGGCACAGATTTTTGGGCGTGGGGGGGGTGTTATTAACTTCTTCTTCTTCTTCTTGTTATTATTATTATTATTATTATTATTATTATTATTATTATTATTATTATTATTAACTGTGAACAACCCGAGAGCTGGTGCTAGGGGTGCGCTCATAGGAGCAGGCTATCACTGTCGTGGGGGCTTCATCTAGTGGTGGATAATATTGTTCAAAATTCAAATCCTTCAAGAGACTTGACATCTGGGCGCGGCGAAGCTGTAATCAGAACCACATTGTCGATGAGACGAACCCCTACCACCCTCTTCCTGTGCCTGCCCAAGTTGCATATGAAGTTATAAACCTGTATGTGGCGTATGCTCAAAGGATGCAAGTCAGCGGAAGGCTGGTACTCTTTCCCATCGGGGAGGCTGGTACTCTTTCCCATGGAGGGGGCTTGTACTCGTTCCCATCGGAGGAACTGGTACTCTTTCCCATGGGAGGGCTCAGAGGGCAATCTCTCACTTAAAGCAGTGGTGGTCGCAGGTCACTTTGGTCAAACATCATTATTGACTCTTGACTCTTGAATCTTGAGAATTCCCCAACTGCAGGTGGCTTTTAATGGCAGTGTGAAACTGAACGCTCAAATAGCCTACGGTCTTCCCTCTAACGCAACAGACCGTGTACATGAAGAGGCATTGCATACAAGCTTTCTTTACGGTCCGATACAGTCATAATGAGGGTGCATTGTATTTGCCAGGAAGACGGTAGCCAGAGGTTGATGGGCCACTAATGCAAAACTTAGAGGAGCTGAAATTGGGGGCTAGGGAAAACATCAGAGCTGAAAGAAAATTCAAAATTGTCAATTGAGGGATTTATTAATGTAATTTTGTAATTTTTATTCACAGACGTCCACGGCTGAAACACTGACTTTGATCATTTTTTTTTATTTTTTTTTTTTTCCCCTTTTTCCCAAAGGAGTACCAGCTGTGTAGCAAGCACCGGTTCAGCAAGGAGGAGGGAGAGGGAGTGAGCACGCATGCAATTTTATCTGGCTCCATCACCGCACTCTACGGGGATTAAAAAAAAAAAAAAAAAAAAAAAACCTTGTACTCAACTGGGACGATGAGTGGATAAGATGCTCATGATTACAAGGAGCGATAATAATTCAATTCAGGGCAAACTCACACTACCATCTTGACCCTAATGGAACGCCCGGTCATTATCACTGTATCTAGATTCTAGACTGAATGTTGCCCCCAAAAAAATACACCTATAGTGACTGGGCGTTCTATTCGGGGGTGAAGATGGTAGGACTTTTGGACTCAGCTCTGGACGCGATTGCAGTCAGATGAGTCTATTCCCCAGCCGTATTTGGGGTCAGATACATGTAGGAAAGTGATAGTGTGAACATGATACACTTTTTTTTTTCTTTTCTCTTTTTTCTTTTTTTTTAATTTGGACCATTTCTCGATTTATGCCTGTCATCCTTACTTGCGCAGGGGCCAAGTCCGACTAGCCAAGAGTTACGCTTCGAGGCTGGGCTTTCAACAACGTGCGGCCCGGGGTGACTCACGTGAGCCGCCAATTGCAGTGGACATCGACCGCCCACTCATTTTTTGACCAACCCGCGGTTTCCAAAGTGCCCCACGTCCAGTAGCATGTTTTAGAAATGTTTTGTTGTGTTTTAGTTGGCCACATTCGTTGGGCGGGAAGCTTCAATTTTATCGTTTTTTGACCCAGGGGGTGCTTTTGAAGCTTCCCGCCCAGCCTCTTTCCGACATCGTTTGTGTGCAGAGCCCGCCAGACAGGCCCCCGGAAACGGTGGCAGGATGTCTGTTGTGTGGGGTTGAACCTGAGGTACACCCCTGGGACGTGAATGCAGTTGGATGCATTCTCCCAAGTGCTACTGTGAGCATGCCTTGTCATCGAGTACGAAAACAAAAAAACCGAGAAAACCCTCCATCGGCATTTTTAAAATCCGAAAAATGTGCCACACACCGATTTACTCTTCGCTAGTGGGACTTGGCCCCAGGGGCCATGCTATTCTTCTCTTTCTCTGTATCTTTCCATTTTTTTTATTTTTTTTTATTTTTATCTTTCCAATTTTAACGGATGTCCCGAAGGACTGATACACTTACCAGGGGCCTGGTCCCATTAGCAAAGAGGATTGGATTTAATTCCTGAATCTGGATGTGTTTTGTGCAGAGATGCAGGAAAGCAGATCAATCACAATTTTCTGCATCTTTCCACAAACTAGTCCAGATTCAAGAATTCAATCCAATCCTCTATGCTAATGGGACCAGGCCCCTGGTACCGGATGTCCCGAAGGACTGATACACTTACTTGGGAACAGCCTAACAGGTAAGAAGTTGGGCGGACCGCATGATAGGAAACTCCTGCCCGCGGCCAGGTCCCACTAGCAGCAGTTTGTTTCCTCAATGCCTGAATCTGGACGTGTTTGCGGGGAGGTGCGGTTGAGGAAACTCTACGCTATTTTTTGCACATCTCCACAAACACGTCCAAATTCAGGTGTTGAGGAAACTCAACGCTGCTAGTGGGACCTGGCCCCAGGATTCACAAAAGCCATGGACACTTGCCTAGCGATGTTAAAAAAAAAAAAAAAAAAGGTTCTCTGCTAGAGGGCACAACTTCAACTATTTTCGCACATTAACATTTGCATGACAGTGACAGTTGTAACAGACAGTTAGCTTGTGGATTATAAGCGCTCTTGTATCTCACCATTCCTCACTTGTATGCGATTTATGTTGATGCTATGGAGTCTGGTGGACCTAAGCCGCTATCATGCATGGAGACTGTGATGACACCCGCACGTGAGTGCAGCTCAACAGCAGGGCGAGAAAAGATACAAAACATGAAAGGGAGAGCACAGAGACAGACACACACACACACACACACACGCACACAGAGAGAGAGAGAGAGAGAGAGAGAGAGAGAGAGAGGTTGATGATATGGACCTAAGCCACTATCATGCATGTAGACTGTGATCACACCCACCCGTGGGCGCAGCTCAACACCAGGGCAAGAAAAGATACAAAGATGAAAAAGGGCAGGGGGGGAAGGGTACGGGGGAGCACACAGAGAGAGAGAGAGAGAGAGAGAGAGAGAGAGAGAGAGAGAGAGAGAGAGAGAGAGAGAGAGAGAGAGAGAGAGAGAGAGAGAGAG